TTTTTTTTTTTTTTGTGTAATCAGCTGAAACTTAAACTGAATATGCACGTGTATGTTTTTGTGGAGAGGGAAAGTGTTTCAGAGCACTGCAAAAAGAGAACCACATGCTTGAGCATGGAGCCTTGCACAGTGCCAAGGGCTCCTAGAGTATGCGCTTGGATGGGCATGCCAGAAACATTTTGGACTGAGCCTTAGACCATGTAGACTGTAGTATTGTCCTCACCGACGTCCTGATGTGCTCGGTGTCCAGAGCACAGTAGAAGTACAACTTTATTTGAAGGTGGTACATACACAGCTGTGGCAGCATGTGTAGTGTCTGTTAGAGTCCTGACACAAGTCTGTACGCCATCCCAGATATAAATAATGGCATTAAAACCCAATAAAGACTTTTTTGTGTGTGTGAGAGGCAGCGGTTAAGTCGCAGCCTACCACTGGTGGAGAGGTAAGTTCCTGGCTTGTTTTTCAGTCTGGGATGCATGCAGCCTTGACCAGTGGGTGAGAAAGGAGCTAAATATTGACATTGACTAAACAGGAATCTGTCTGTCTGGATTATACCTAATACCTATTAAGATTCAAGAAAGGAAGAAGAGCAATTTCAGTCATCCTGGCAAGAAAAACCAGTTTATTGACTAAGATCTTGTATCTTCCATGGTAAAACATGAATGTAGTAGTGACAGAAACACAGCCTCCAGAGTTTTATGGGTTTTTTTTTAGTTCCTTCCCTGTTCCTCACAGACAGATGTATCCATTTCCACAGCCCTTTTTGCACCACTGATTTTAAGCTATGCGGTATCAGTAGCTGTGAGGCTACCACATACTGCAGCAATCTGCAGTGGGAGAGGAGGGTTTAAATCAAGCCTTCCTCAGACCAGTGGCTTTACATTCCCTAAGGTGTACATCTTTGGAAGCAGCTCACGCCTGATGCACATCTGCTCAAACTGGGGTAGGGGAGCTGGAGCAGCTTAAAGTAGAGTTAAAGATGGGGAGAGGGTGGGGGCAGCTTGAATCCAAGCCCGCATCCACCATTGCTGGTCTGGTGGCACTGGACTGGCTCTGTCCAAGGATGAATCAGGCCCTCTGTGTTTAACACCAGGAGAGGCCATCGGTTTTCTCCCCACAGCTTGGGGCAGTCTGTACGGCTGTGTCAGGGCGAGGGGCAGCTTCTCTGCTGGTTTTGGTGTATGCAGATGCTGGGGCAGTTCCTCAGATGTCTTTGGAAAAGTGAGGTTTGTGAGAGCAGGTCTTGGCAGTTAGTGCCTCACGGGTCCAGGAAGTTGATTGTGTTTATGTTTTTCTTCCTTTAATTAAATCCTGGGCAGAAGCTAAAGTGATCCAGTGACATGAAAGACCGGCTTTGATCCATCCAGGGCCCGAGTCCTATTCTTCAGAGCATGCTCAATTCAAATGAAAACAAACAGCCAAATTATATTAGGGTGGCTTGCAGCAGTCAGTTGGGATATAATAGGGTGTTTCTTTAGGGAGGCAATAAAAAGAACATTATCTAGAATAAAAATCCCATATGAACATATTTTTCTATGTAACCAAGGAAATTACGCTTTATTAAAATAAAATATAGCTTACATAAAGAAAAGGGAAAAAATAAGCACTGATGTAGTTTTTGTGAATCCCTATTTCCTTGGTAACTGTCTCTAATTTGTTTAATCCTGATTGCAGCAAAACAGTAACATGAATGTAGGTGTGAGTGCATGTATACTTCAAAACATTGGTGTGGTTTTAATTTGTTTGTGTGACCTACCCTGGTATTGTCTTAGACCCAGGGCAGGTACATAGAAGGTTACTGCATTATTAACTGTCTAATTAGGCAAGATGTACAGAAGAATGGGTGAGATCTCTGCTGGTTTAGGGTTTCTGATGTTGTAAGGTAATTTTCTGTTTGTAGATATAGTCCTAAGGTATCACCTCTTTCTTATTGCTTGCCTCAGACTCTGAAAACATAGACCAGCTCTTTGTCTCTGTACAGTAGCTGGCAGCCTTGGAAAATGCATTGATATTTTCAAGGCGAGGCCAGGCAGCTGGTGGGTGGGTGGGTGGGAGGGAAGGGGCCTGAAGGAAAGGATAAGCATGAAGGGTGTTCTCCCGTGTTCCTGCCGTGGTGTTTCATTTCATCTGGCAGCGTGCCTCCAGGTGAGTCCTCCGGCACGGGCCTTCTTGACTTGTTGCGCTTTCTGGGATGAGCAATGTAATCACAGATGCTGTACGCATTTTGGTGTGGCCTGGTGCTGACTCACTGCCTCCTCTCTGGCCCTTTGAAACCCTCAGGTGGAGTGGCTGAAGAACGAAGAGGTGATTGATCCCGTGGAAGACCGAAATTTTTACATCACCATTGATCACAACCTGATCATTAAACAAGCGCGGCTTTCCGACACGGCCAATTACACTTGTGTCGCCAAAAATATTGTGGCCAAAAGGAAAAGCACCACAGCGACTGTGATTGTCTACGGTAAGTGGTGCCTTGTCCTGCCGCACATGCATGGACACGCTCTCAAAGTGAGTGGTGGGACAGGAGGGGGGTGCAAAATGCCTGTTTGTAGCTCTTGCTGTGGTGAGTGGCCAGGCTTGTCCGCCTGTGCTGCCTGTTTACTTGCAGCCATACGCAGCGACTACAGTCAGGATTCACTACCGAAAACACTCAGAAGTACAGATCTGATGACTTGGCTTATTGGTGACAGACAGTGATGTTAAAGGAGGAGCAGGCACTTACGCAAATAGCCAGTTGCCTCCTTGAAAAGAAGGCGGTTGCTTCCATTGCCATAATACACTCTGGCTGGATGCAGCAAGGAGCCATGCAGGCAATTCCCCTAGGAGGAGCGTCCAAGGCATAGATTTCTACCAGCGCATTTCACGTTCTTAGTGTCACTTTTCAGAAATAAGAGTAAAGCTGAAAGGAAGTTTGTGCTACCAGAGTGTCAGAGCACAGCAGAATCTTCCTTCACCGTGTATCTCTTTAAATAAACTTACTTTTGGTGTCTCCTACAAAAACATATCCTGATTTCAAGGGCAAAGGAGCAAAGCAATCTGGGACTGAAGTTCACAGGCACACAACCTGGCTTAAAAATAAACATCAGAGGAATACGAAGCATGGGATAACATTATTCTGTGTCTGCATCCAGAGCCTCGATCTAATACTGAGGATGGCCTTGCTTCGGCTGGGGAGGGGCCAAAAGAGATGCCTTCCTGGGTTCTCTTCCAGACTGTGTTGCATCACAGCTCTGCCTCACCAGTCGGAGCCTTTGCCCCTGCAAAGTGACTGCTCTGATGCATCCCAGACGGGGGTATCCACCAGAACAAAACCTGCTCTGACGATGTGCCAGCTGACTGTCCTGGTGTTCCTTACAATCAGTTTAATTATAGGATATACAAGTAGGAAGAAATCCCTATGATTATCCCTAATATTCATTTCATATTCAGGGTAGCAGTTAGATTTAATTGTAAGCAGTTGCTTCCCTGAAGTTACAATGGGGCCTTTTGGTTCAGTTTTTATAGAAAACTGACTGAATTGAGTTGATTAGCAGTGTTTGTGAGATTAAAGGGTGGACCATGCAAGAGCACTGTGTTTTGTAACTGTGATGAATGCAGAAACATAAAGATGTAGGCATACTGCAACTCTTCCTCATACATACACAGCATTTTTTCAACAGTGCAGTCAAGAGACATATGTAGGGGAGCAGCCATTTTTATGGGGTTTGCTACCAGAGCTACTTAAGGATTGTACCATATCACAAACATTTGGGTTCAGGGGATCTGAGCAGTTAGTATGTTATCCATACCCTGGCGACAACATTATTACATAGAGCAGCACAGCTCCTTTTTCATCCACCCATCTGTCCCAGAAATGGAGGTGGGTGAAAAACAGGGTCATCATAAATATCTTCCCAGAGATAAGTATCTTCCCAAAGTCCAGTAATAAAAATGCATTTAGTGTGAGTTCACGCTGAACAGTTTAAGTATCTTTTATGGAAGTGCTGGTATATTCATATGCACCAGCCGTGTCCACAGAAGGGTGAGTGAAGTTGTCCCGACATCCAGAAACCACCTCCAGGAAATAAAGGGAAAGAAAATTATCAATTTCTAATCAAAGCACAGGGGTCTCTCAGCATACATATATGAATGGGTACATCTGAGAATGAGCTGGACTGAAGGTTACCTCCCTTTGGAAAATGGTGCAGCATTCAGAGTGCAGGCTTCTGACTGGCAGAGCTGTGGGCATTCTCTGAACCCACAGAGATTTCGGCCATACACAGGCGATCAGTTGCTTAGTGCTGGGTCACGTTGGTTTTCAGGAGAAGGCAGGTCACCTGCCAGCTGTAATAGTCATCAAATGGTGTTTTTCATTCAGTGGCAGCGTTTCTCCGACTTGAACAATGGCTTCTGGCATATTGTATGTCTGGTATGTTGGAGACGTAGGTTTTTGTCTGTTCAGTGTTGCTTCTTGTGCTTTCCCCAGCCATCATTTGTGACTGCTGTTGGAGACAGCCTGCCACAGAGCCAGAGATGCCTTTGGGCAGAACAGGAGGGCTTGCTTACACGATCATACTCTTTTTCTCTTGTTTTTCAGTGAATGGAGGCTGGTCTACCTGGACTGAGTGGTCAGTGTGTAACAGCCGATGCGGGAGAGGCTTTCAGAAGCGTACAAGGACCTGCACCAATCCTGCCCCGCTCAACGGTGGTGCCTTCTGCGAGGGCCAGAGTGTTCAGAAAATAGCTTGCACCACTCTGTGTCCAGGTTCAGTATCAACAGTGCATAGCTCTAGATAAATAGCTCCTCTGTCACCAGTCATTTCAGAAGACTGTTAGTTACAAATTTCTTAATAAAACCAACATTTCAGTGAATGAATATGAAATAATATTACATAAGTAGATAAAATAGTGGGCACATTATATCAAGCAGCAGAGGATTCAGGCCCATTTTTGCACGCAGTTTGCACTGGTGTCTCAGCCCTGGTAATTCAGGGGATTTGGGGAAATTGAAAGCTTCAAATTGTAGGAGATAAAGGTTGAAAGCTCTGGAAAAGGACTGGAATTTGAATATAGAAAGGAACTGTGATGTAAATATATTTGCAATGTCTGTTCAGTCCAGCTGTCATAGCAAGTGGAGCATCTGGGGTGTGGATGTTAAATTTGAGGCACGTGTTTACCTGACTTCAAATACAAAGACTGGAGAGAGATGTGCATGAATACTTTTAAAAGGTATTTAAATGTAAACTTCTGAAAAATACAAAATTGCTTCAGGACACGCAAGGTAGTTGGTGGCTTTTCTGCGACAAAAGTTCTGCCATCTGTCCTGTTGCCCAGCGCTTCTGGACAACAGTGGTGCAGTCCCACTCATGTCAATGAGAGTAGGGTTGTCTTCAGCTTGTGTGAAGCTTGGCCGTCCAATTCTGGATCTTAGTTGTGGGTGAGACTTAAAAGCTGAAATTTCATCTCTGGTTGCTGTTCCAAGTGACAGACTCCTGGCTCAGGCTGTGTCACTGGAACAATTTCATAGTTTGTTCTTTGGCTGTTCAATTTAGTACATTTGAAAATAATTTGCAGGATTTCAAAGACGCTAAAAACATTGCTGATTCTGCTCGCATAAAACAGATCATTGCCTCTAGATATTTCTTTTAATAGAAAATATTTAACATTAAATATTTCCCTATTACAGAAGGATCTCTGCCCAAGTTTAACTTTAACCTTTTTGTTAAAAAATGCCAAACAAATAAAAATATCACAGATTTCTGACTTGTTCATTTTGTTATACACTTGGAGCGCAAATGAACTGCTGACGAGTATATAAAAAGGGAAGTAAAGAGCAGAAACGGGGCTGAGGCAGAGAGACAGGAGAGGGGGGGTGAATGTGCATTTACAGGCCAGAAATAGGACTTTAAGAAGAGCAGACTGACGATCCTTCTGCCTTGCTGGGAATGGCCAGGAGTTGCAGGCTGGCTTGTGCCGAGACATGCATTGCTCTCGCTCTGTCACACTTCCATGTATCCCCTAACAACTCATCTCCTTTCCTTGTCTCAGTGGATGGCAAGTGGACGTCCTGGAGCAAGTGGTCAACCTGCGGCACGGAGTGCACCCACTGGCGCCGAAGGGAGTGCACAGCCCCGGCACCGAAGAACGGGGGGAAGGACTGCGAGGGGCTGGTGCTGCAGTCCAAGAACTGCACCGACGGGCTCTGCATGCAGAGTAAGTGCCACTGTGATGCCTCTGGGGTCTGGGATGTATGTGGTTGGAGAAAAACCTGCAGTAGCTGCAGATCAGCATTGATGACCTAAAGTCACAGATCCTTTGTAGGATGGAGAAAATGGTTAATCTGATTCTCACCAGACTGGACGCCCACTCTTTTTTCCTGGAGATTAATGTAACGCTGTCTGAAGTTTATGAAGTTGAGCAGTGAGGAATCAGGAAGTCTCATAACAGAGCCCTCTCCCCCTGTCCTCCCCATAAAACAGCCCTTCTTTCTAATTGCGGCTCAGCATCTGTCCAGGGAAGCTTGGCAGTGATTCTTACGCAATGCAGATGGAAAGTAGAAAGTTTAGGGCAAAGCCAGCATTTTCAAGATTAAACTTTGCAAAGCAGATCAGCTTGCAGCTTCTTACTGCCAAGAATGGTGGGTTCATGTGTTTCTGCATATAATAGCTATGCCCCTTTCTGTAGTGGAAAAAGGTACCCTGTATCTCTGCAGCACATATGCGAACTTCATATATAGTTGTTAGCATGCTGCAGCCTTGTGGAGATCAGCTCTAGCACTGAAGTCTATTCCGCTGCACCTATTCATGCCATGGTCTTTTGTTACTATTGAGAGTGAGAAGTAAAGAAAAGTAGGCCTTTAGGGTTATTCTGACATATGCTGATGAACAATTAGTCATCTCTGCACCCCAACCCTTCTCAAAAATGAGGGCTTCTCTGTTCTGCTGATGCATCAAAACTTCCTTCCACATTTTGTTAGCACAACCTGAGCCAGAATCCACACATACATATCTCTCCTGTTCCTTCATCCTGTCTCTCTGCAGTACTTCTCTGTACAGCCTCAGCTTCTGTTGTCTGAAGACTTGTGGCTGTAATTATCCATGTCCGGATCATAAAATGCTTTGAGTTCTCTCATGAAAAAGGAGTCAGGAATTTTTATTCTTTGAGGCAGGTAACTTTTGACTGAAATAGTCACAGCTACAGAAAAGTGACACTACTAGCTAATACATAGGTCTACTTCTTGAGTATGTGCCATATAGGTGGCTACTGCACTGACAGTGTTCTCTCAGCTATGCTATGGCATGGCATGGCCATTTGCTATGAGGTTTCCCAGATTTACAAAAAAGGCTTGTTCAGTGTGGCCTTCACAAACACTTTCCTCACATTAAAAACTATTAGTCAATGCCAGCAGCCTATAAAGCTGTAATTTCTTAAAACATTTGTTTTCATGAGGAAGAAAGAAAGAAAGGTGAGATTCAGAGTTTCTCTCTTTTTCTTTTCTAAAGATAGGAAAAATAAATAATCCAGCCATGTCTTACTGTATAACACCTTGGTGACTTTTATGGTGGGGAAGCTAACGTACCCCTAGCTCCAGCAGTGTGAATAAGTCATTATGGTAAATTAGGAAGAAAAGATACATTTCCCTATTCAGAATAGCCCTTCACTATCAGATTATATTTAGACAGGTGTATGTCATCTTTGTGTATGTGCATAAAGAGAGCCATTTAAGCAGAAATCTTGTGGAAAAGTAGATATAATGGTACAGCAGAATAAAAGCCCTGTAGGGATCTCATTTATCTGTTGATGGTATATTGCATTTTATTTGTGAAAGTGGATGCTGTGTACAAAGCAGAGGTCTTCTAGCGGGAGAGAGGGTGAGGTTGTTGTGAATCCTATTCTGCTTCATATATATGTATATAAAAAATGGTAATGAAAAATATACAGTCACATATTGACCTGCTTGGCTCCAGGGGCTGTGATCATCCTTCAGTGCTGGAATTTAATGGCAGTGTTTTAATGGTGTCTTTATACTCACAGGGTTTCATATACCTGTAAAACTTAGAGTCCTGCTCCCTGATCCGTCACTGCTGAGAAGATTGATTTGCCGTACTTGGTGGCGGTGTGCCTGCTACTCTCTCTCTCCCTCTCTCTTTTTCTTTATTTCTCCTTCTCAGTTTATGCAAAACCAATCTGAACACTTACATTTTTGCTGGTGTGGGTCTAGATTCATAGCAAATCTGCCTGGAGAGCTAGGAAGAAATGCAAAGCCCCTTTCATTTCCAAAACACCATGCGTTGTTCCACATTATTTGAGGCTGGTGGGGTCTGTCCTGGAACTGACATTTCTCTTAGCCAGGGGACCCATGGATTCACAGCAGACATTTCCAATGCCTTCATGCCAATCGGTCTGGCATGGCACAGGTGGTATGGAGGGAGCCACAGCCACCTTCCCTCTGTGACATTAGTCCTCCAGATGTGTTGGCCATCTACTTACCTGCACCATAGCCAAATCCTGCTCCTAGGTGTACTGGTGCTTCCTCCTCAGTGTCAGTCTCTAGTGAGGGCTTGAAGGTTGAGTTTAGTACCATGGGTGTAGTTGAGGTCAAAGACAGACCCTCTTACTAGGAGTCACTAAGCTATGCTGGAAAAGGTTGGATTGAATGAGTCTAATTTACAAGCCCTTTCTCTTCCAGTCTATTATTCACTACAGTAGCATCAGCTGGATAAATCAATAAGCTCTTTCATCAGGCTGCCCCTGCTTCAGCAAAGAGCAGCAGTCTGTACCACTATCGATTTCTGTGGGGATAAAAACTGTGGAGCTTTCTCCATCCCTTGTAATTACAGTATTTTAAACCCAAAGCTGTAGTTTGTGCTTACCACTAACTGTGGCATTTCTCGCGCAACTCTGCTGTCACATTTATTCAGACTAATGATCTTGGTAGTACACACATACACTCCCTTATCCTGTAGTTAGTATTTTTCTGTTAACATGAAAGGATGAGCAGTCATTAAGCTAGAGAGCCTGCAGAGAGACAGCAGGCTGAATTGAAGAAGAAAAGCAGCTGTAGTGAAAATTTTGGGCGGTCATTGCTATTTTAAGTTTCCAAATACACAGTATTGCCTAGCAGGTCCCATTATAACAATTTCATAATTCCCATAATAGCATTAATATGATCTTCTGGAACAAAATACGCTGTAGGTGTAAGAAGAATTGGCTGGTTACCACCCACGCTAGTTACATTATTGCCTCCATACTTGCATTATTTCCCATTTGAAGTGTGAGTACTATGGTAAATACTTCAGTGCAAGGAACGACACTTTTAAAGGCACACACTGCATCTCACAGGGGATCGCTATAAACTGAAACACTGCAATTAGCCTTCCACTCGTCCTGCCTAATGACTTTGGTGGGTGTTCTGTGTGGGGACTAAGAAAGCAAAGCATTCCCACTGCTGGCTCAAACTTCTGTACAAGTAGTTCCCTTCACTAGATCCTAAATATGTTTAAAGCAACGTAGAAGGGGAAGTGTTTTGCTGGCCCAGTCTGGAATGACTGCAAGATCATGTGTGTGGTACCAAACAGCTGCTAAAAGTCCCTGGCGGGCCAAATTCTGTTTTGTATTATGTGTAAAATGCTGCTGGTAATGAGGAAAAGGTGGACAGCCTATGAAGAGAGTTAGCTGTGTTTCTTGGTTATGTTGAAGGCTTATTACATGAGTTGTGATGTGCAGCCATCGTGCTCAGAGCATGTCACCTGTTGAGCATCTGAAATGACAGTGTTCAGATCTGTATGCTCCCTATCCTGAATAAATAAGCACAGAAAGTCTGTAGGCATGAAGTTGGTGTCTGTAAAGCTGTTGGTCTTTTCTGTGACAATCTTTTCTGTGACAGTCACACATGTGATGTGCAGGGTTGGTGGAAGCACAGTCAGGAGACAACCAGTGCCCCTTCTTCAACTCACTCTTGACTTTAGTAGACCACCATGGCCTTTCATAAAAGGCTGGCTAAGTGGTGCTTTCAGTATTTTTCAAAACACACTGCTAGGTATCTTACAGCAGCAAGGTAGTACTGAAGCATATGTTATCACTTGAGGACTATGGATTATATAGCTACATAAATACTAGTACAGGCTCACATCATTGAATATGTCCAAAAGGAAGTTTCCACTGTAGTTCCTTTGGATTTAAATAAATGAGCATGAAAAGGCTGAGACATGCTACTATCACTTAAAGGATGGAAGGAATTATTCAAAACATCTTCACCCGTTGTTACAGACAACACTCTGGAGTAACTCTCCTGTCACTTTGGTTCTCTCCCTGCATGTAGCTTAAGTACTTGGAAATTCCAATAGCAGAAACAGCACTTGAGAAAATGGCACCTGTACCATGATGAAGATGTTATTATCAGACTAGTAATTCCATTCCTCGTTAAAAAAAGGCTGCCTTCTAGCTGAGAGTGAATTGATGTGAAATGATGACGGCAAATCTATATTGGCTAAGTGCTTTGAAATCCTTGTCGGAAAGATGGCATGAAGTTCATAAGGTTCCCTCTGACAGTGATAGTGCCTAAGCAAGTGAAACGATGCAGTTCGTCATGCTTGTGCACGAAATGGTTAACTGCTGCCCTTTTCTAGTCTTGTGCATGTTTATACACAGCTCTTGATTAGAAAGCAAGGTTAACCTGGTACTAACATCTCTGTCTTCCCAAAACACACGTATTCTGCATATGCCCTGCTTGTTTAATGTAACATGCCAGAACTCTGATGGAATAAGCATTTATTTCCCTTTTTGGCTTGTTTTGAAAGCAGGCATTCAGGGAAGAATTGCAGGGCACAGCAGTTTGATGAGGACCTCTGGTCCTTCAGAGCAGATTAGTGTGCAAAGAGCAGGGGAATGTTTTCCAGACTCCAGGAGGTAAGCAAAGCTCTCTCAAGGGAGACTGCAACAGAAGCCTGTGTGTGGAGAGGAATGAAATAAAACCTTTTATTAAGAGCATGTGGGTCAAGAGAGAACTTTTAATACTTTCAGTCTGTCAGCATAATGATGTAGCCACCCGGCCTGTTTCGCTGAGCCCTTGAAGGAGTGGGGCTTTATTCACTTGAAGAATGCATTTCATCTGTTCCAAGAGGAAGTTTTCTGTAATATTGTTACTTGATATGAGTAAAGAGATGTGTTACTCTGTTTTCAACCCAGCTGCAATGTAATGGTGTAGCAGCCAA